TAGACAAAGTTATGATCGTTTATTTTAGCTCCTTACCTATTGCATCCGTGGAGTTTTTGCTGCTGCGGGGGAAGCTGGGCATGACCATGTCATCGATGATATGAATAGGATAAAGTTACGAGCCCAGAACCCAGCGACCGTTGACTCCCCGCGAGGCGCGTGCCGCAAAACCCTGCGCGAAGCGCAGGGTTTTGCACAAGCGCCTCGCTTAATCTCCATAGGTTTACGTTGACCATTTTGATAAAAAAAAAAGTTGCCCATCGAAAAGATATTAAAATAAACTTAAATATTTTTTTCGTTTTTGAACATTAAATTTAATTTTTTAAATTTTTTTTCCCAAAAACGGTCCGCAAATGTCCGATCCGCAAAAGTCGGTCCGCAATCCGCAAATGTCGTCCGCAAATGTCCGATTCGCAAATGTCTATCCGCAATCCGCAAATGTCCGTCCGCAAAGGTCGGTCCGCAAAAGTCGGTCCGCAAGTGTCGTACAATCCTAGTAACTATAAATAATGGAAATATGTTTTTTGTATATTTCATAGTCATAGAAATTCAAGAAAAATATGGATTTCCATATAAATGGATACCCTTTTTATTAATTTCTTCCCTAAAACATTTTCTCATACACTTTACTTTCAACATATTTGAATGGCACTTTTCTCAACCATATTCAAAATTTCCTTTTTGCTTAAACGACATTTCCCTCAATATTTTCAAATAACTGTCTTAATCACATTTATATTTCCAATTTTTTCCAAGCATTAAATATTTGCCTGTTTATAAGGATCTGATAGATTACCCATTCATATTCTTCACCTTTAATTTATTAAAAACTTTCTTAAATATAAATAAGCTTCATGTGGATTTAGGAGACAAATAAAATATATTAAATGGTAGAGCCCTGTACTTTTATTTTCAAGAGGTCTCCTTGAGTGGGCTGCAACTAGGGTGATTTTTACAAATATTCCGTGATTTGGTAATTTCGAGACTTTTCTGTTCCGAGCCTTGACCGTTCCAAGACTTGTCCGTTCCGTGAGTTAGCCTGACACGCATCTAATAGGGCTTCATTTTATATGGCGGCTTCTATTAGGACATTTACGATATATAAAATCCTGGACGTGTGTACGAAATTGCTATGTCACGACAATTGCGGATATGACAACTCGGGTCAATTTCGGATATAGAATTTAAAAAATACAAAAAAAAATTTCAAGTTTTAGGCGCCGTATAAATCCAGAATCCATTCAGACACTATTTTAAGGGTTAGAAACTGTCAGCCGGCACTTAAAATTTGTCATATATTCCGCAATTGTCATATCCGGATTTGAAATGTGTAACTATAGTCCGGGCAAAACTTTTTCAGTGAATTTTATTATTTTACCTTATTTTTATATTTTATATTAGGGTATCACTTAAGTTCTGTCATAGTTGAGGTTTTCATATATGTCGCTTTAGGATATACATGTATCCCTCGATATCCCTCATAATCACTCTGAATGCTTCCCTTAATCCCTAAATCCTTCAATATCTCTTTTTCCAAGCTATAGGATTACTTTGATCTATAATTGCCCCCCATCTTTCCTTCTTTTTTACTTCCTAATTTATTTCCTTCTCCCTATCGTGTTAAAATCGAATAAATGGTTATTAAATCTGTCTTTTAAAAAATTTTTTTAATTAAAATGGGTAATTCCAAGCTTCGTGCCCCTCCCCCTTTCCTTATATTTTTCTTCCTCATATTTTTAAATATAAATAAGAATGTAGAATGAATCTACTAAAGTTCGACCCCAGACATGCTTCAGGACCGGTTTTCCAGGCCCGTATCCCTGAAACCGATTATGGTGCCTCTGAAAAACACGGGCCATGTCCGGGCCCAATTTCTAGTAAATTTTATATAATATTCTGATTTTTGGACCAATTCTGGCTCCTTAAACACCCAAAAATAGAAAAATTTTCACCTGCGGCGCTAATTAAGTGAATTTACTGCCCAATATTACTCATAAATTTAAACCTTTGCCAGTGAGGTTCCGTGACTTTTGCGCCGAGAACATTTGCGCCGCGACTCTTGCGCCGCGACTTTTGCGCCGCGACTTATGCGCCGAGCGACTTTTGCGCCGGGGGACTTTTGCGCCGCGACTTGCTCCTAAAATGCTCCTAAAATGTTAAAAATTGTTGGAAAATTTGATCATTTGGAACAGGAATATAAATACGGTTCTGATTGGGGTTTCCTAAGAGAAAATTCATCGACACAAAATCAGAGAGTAAGCGATATTATTTTAAAATATTTCAGTATTAAAATATTCAGTATTAAATAAGTAACATTCATTTTAAAATAACTTTCAATGTTAGTTATTTTGAAAATTCCCTTTGAAAAATACTCCAACTCCACTAATTTTTTATCGGCAACTTTGTATTTTTTAGAGATTTAGGGTATCTTAAGGGATTAAACTTAAATCCTATCAAATTAAATTTTATATTTTGGGAAGGATATTACTTAAAATCGTTTTTATTTAAAGGATTCACAATATCTGACTAAGGTACATTACGTCAATCAAGATGGCGGTGATTCTGGTGTTGTATATTCTGAGCAAATTTCCAAAGAGCACGATATGGATGTGCTTGTTAATCGGTTAATGGATAAATTTTATTACCCTGAAGGTCATCCCTATTCGTTTGAACCTGGCGGTTTGGCAAGTGAAATTCTCAAGGATAACACCAAATTAGAAGAATTGACATTATCATCTGAAATATTTTCATCTAAATAATATGGTAAGTAAATTAACTGAAGTGCATTATGTAAATGGTGATGGAATGTCAAATCTGCTGGAGAGAACCACCTGGCTCTGCTGTTTACCAACAAAGAGCTTTGCGTATACTGATCAAATATATGCATCAATACCTTGTACAACATTTAATTAATGTTGAAAATCCTTACTGCTCCAACTTAGATATAACACTTAGGGTAAGGTCAGAATGTGAAAAACGCTTTTCTTTATGATGTTCCTGCTCAAGAATTTGAATATACTATGAGAGGATCAACTGTTTATTGTCAAAAGAAAAATCCAGAACATGATCAGACCAATGAAATAAGGGAAAGGTACTAAATTATTCTAAAATATTCTTAGTTAATGTCATAAGATGATTGTTAGGTTACATAACTAAACCATTAGTAAATACTAAAACATATACTAAACATATACTAAAACATAATCAAGAAATTTATTATCCGAAATAAATTTAGTAAAAAGAAATTCATAAAAAATCCCCCCCCCCCCCCCCAAAAAATAAATAATTATATTGTAATATTTATAATTTATAAAGGTTCTTTCAATCAATATCTCGTATATCTGAAAGTGAAGATTTTGATATGAATTACCTTCATTCGATTATGGATAAAGAAACAAGAAATTTTCGTGAAACTTTTGAGGATAATTTGCATTTTTATGTGGCAGGTGCAATGAAAAATCATCATTTGTATGGCTTCTCTATGGATATTAACCAATACTCAACACGAACTGCTTTAGAAATCTTTACCATTGTGGATTGAAATTATTTTTAATTCTAAAAAATTTATTGGTGAAAATGTTTTATATTCAACAATCTAATCGAGATTTAATTTCCGCAAACTTATTTATGGATGCGGAAAATTATTTTCAGCGATTTGCTACATTAAAGTTGCTTGTTGTGATGGAAAATTACAATAAATTATCTGAATGGACTAAAATTTTTGTCAAACAAATTTCATTGGATCTCAACTATTTGGCTGGTGCTGGTTTTTTAGCAGCATTGCTCGTGAGTATATAAAAAGTCGAGTAAATATTGCTTGTTTTCTTATGAAAATATTATTGTACGAAAACGGTTTGTTTTAAAAGAAAAAATTTTTAACATTGTAGAATGAAATTTTTTTAGTTCTGATTAATTTATTGGTGGAAATGTTATATCAATTGAAGATATCGTTCAACAATCTAATTGAGATTTGATTTCCGCAAACCTATTTATGGGTGTGGAAAATTATTATCAGCGATTTGCTACATTAAATTTGCGTGTTGTGATGGAGAATTACCATACATTGTCAGAATGGACTAAAATTGCACTCAATCAAATTTCATTAGATGGTATGAAACAAGTGAGTTTTTAAAATATATTACAATTATGTTATTAATATTTTTTCAAATTATAGTTGAACTTAACGTCTCTAAGCTTAGTTAGGTAATATTAGTAAGATTAGTTTATTTTTTGATTAATTAATATTAGTTATTAACTTCATTTCTCCTTTGATTTTTCTTTTATAATCTTTTGTGAATATTTTATTCAATATCTATTTTTTCAGTGAACACGAACGCCCCTGTTGGATAACTTACGTAGTGGCTTGGCTTCGACACTTCTGCTCACTTCAATAATATTGGAAAAAACTAAAGAATACCTTTCCCTGTTTTCAATATTTTTGTCCCAATAAAGAAATAAATTAATTTTTGCTTTGTAAATTTTAAATTGCCTATATTGTTTTCGTTTTTTTATTTTAACTAAATTATTTTTATAAATTATTTTCTAAATTACTATTAGGAGTGTTTGTGTCCAACCCTCGTTTAGAACAATTGTTCGTAGGTAAATTTAGAAAATATTAGTAATACTAATAGTAAATTTAGAAAATAATTTATAAAAAAATTTTTCTTTATGATCGTTTAGTTTTATTAATTTCAAATTGATTAGTAATCATTCTGTTATTCTTTAAAGATTAATAAAATATTTTTTTAAATTATTTTTGCAAAAGAAATTCGCAAAAGGATGATTCATCCAATCTGTCTACTCAAATTAAATCAACCTGTCTAGTAAGGCTGAACACATCTCCGTTCTCGTAAGAAATAGTCTACAGTCATTTAACTCTTTTAATGATAAATAGAAAAATTAAAGATCACAACTATTATTTTGTTAAATTTATTTATTTAGTAAGGCGAAAAAACGATAAAACCCCAAAAATATTATTTTTATTATTTTTTGTTGAGAGAATGCTTAACAAAATTCTAATAATATTTTGTTTAATAATCAAAACCCATTCATGGACTTGGAAGGATTATCCATCCCCTAGAGGACCAGATTATTGGAAATGTGGAGTTACAAAACCAACATATGTTTGTGATCCAGATGGAATGTTAACTGATCAACAGAGGAAAGAAATAGTTGATTTAGTTGAGGATTTTAAGGAAAAAACTAAAAGAGTAAGGAGACTATTTAAATTTTATTTTCCCTCCAATTCCAATTTTATAGCCAAAATCATCAAATCCTTGTATGAGAGAAGGTCTTAGACTTGTGGTGGCTTTATCAAAATATAAAATTGGCCTTGAAGATGTTTCCCCTGGAAAAACCGTAAGTTTTTTATGAATAGATAGGCCGAATACTTAATGTCCCGATGAGCTATAACTTCGTACAATGAAAAACGTTAGGCTCAAGCATTTATAAAATAAAAATTTTAAATTTGGCGGTACATTTGCTTGAATATGGCCTAATTTTGTCCGCCATCTTTCGATTTTGGATTTTTAAATTAGTAGTTGATTTTATTATATTTTAGTATCTATGCACAACTGATAGCAAATGGACGTCAAAAAATACAACAGCATGCGATGCAGATGTACATGGCATTGAATTAAATACAAATGGGTTTCGTTATTGCCATTGGATACATTGGTTAATGAATCTTCATAAAGAAGAATATGAAAAGCTCGATTATGTAGAGGTAATAAACTAAGAAACTTTGAGTAATAAATTTATTATAACGTAAATCTTTTAAGTATTTTTTTCGATCCTTAGTAGGGTGTGCTTATATTAGAAACTGTGCTTCAATGAGACCGTGCTTCGATTAGAAGATTTCCGTTATGTAATAAACCTTTTATTATTATATTGTAAAGCATATAGCTATTTAATTCCTAAGGCTGTCAGTAGGCGGCGTGGTGTAAATTTCAAACACATCAGTCCGGTCTATTGAAGACGCTGATTGCTCCCAGCCGCCGATTAACCCTTTGCTAAGGAGAGAAATAGCTATAGCCCAGCTGCTTTACTATATCTTAATATACCTAATTAGATAACATACACGTTTTTCGGGCCCAAAATTTTAGCCCGGAAGACACGGCCCGGGCTTTCTCTGTAGACCCCAAGCCCGGCCCGGGTCTAATACCTGGTATAATAAATATATATCCTTCTAATCTATTTCTCGAAAATGGTAATTACCAACTTATTTTTTATCTAGAAAAGTCATCTCAAGAAAAACTATTTTGATGTGTTAAAAGATTATATTATAAACTTGCGTATGCTTTACATTCAACGCTTCTCAATTTTTGATAACGATGCTTCTAACATTACACTACTAGAAGTGCACCATTCATTGCAAGAGACAAAAAGAAAATTATCAGAAATGCGGCAATTTTCTAACAATCTGTGAGTTTTTTGAGAACTGTTATCGTGATTTGAGAGTAGGAAAGACTGATCGTGCCGTTTTTAAAAAACTAAATTAGCAAACTATAAGGCTAACACAGAAAAACTCAAAGCTTAGTAAAAGTTTGTTGGTTCTTAAAAATCTTACGAATATCAGAAACAAAATAGACGAATAATCGGTTCTTCGGTCGGTCTGCGAAAAGCTTAGTATAGCTCCAGTCGACTGCCTCAAGGATTGATTCCACAACTCCGTTCCAGCTCCTAAATTATTTTATTATAGTAATTCTACTTTAATTATAGATTAGGAGTAATTTCAATCATCATTTCATTAATTATTGGCTTGGTTCTTTTATTTTTAATTTGTCAAATACGCCAAATAAAAAATTATCTGAATCAAAAGAATGCCTCAAAAAATGAAACCCAATTAATGACACCAATGCAACCGGTTGAAGTTGTTGAGAAGATGAGAGAAACTGATGAAAACATAGAAACGACAAGGCCTTTAATAAACCTTTAACTTTTTTTGTTATACAGTCGACCCTCACTTATAGGATACCTTCTTGACCTGAGGTATCAATCATTTATTCATTGACTGTTTAATGATAGAGAAATGTAACCAAAACTTTTAGAATATAATCACTAATGGGCACTACTTCAGATGAGGGTGCTTTGTGTCTTTTTTCGGTAAATATGTAAAAAAATGGCAGTCTGTCAAAGAGTATTTATAAAGTTCGTCGAGCTGGTTCGAATGACACTAAAATCAAAAAATCCGACTTGATTTGACCGAGATACAGACCTCAGAAAATTAAAAAATCATAGGGTGATTTTTTGGAATAAAAAAAGTTCATGAAAATGATTGCTCATTCAAAAGAGCTCATCGAGCTTAGTCGACTTGAACGGCAGTGAGTTTACTTGTTGGGTGGGTATACCAGTAAAAATGAGTCGTCAGTAATAAGTGACACACTTTAAATTCGTTTTTTAAATAATTATTTTTAAACGAATCTCTGTTAGCCCTTGAGCAAGGCGTTAAATTAATAAAAATTATTTTGATTATTCTGAATTTATTTTTTTAATGGACGATTCTTATCCTAAGCTAAAACCAAAACTTTTTTAATTTATATAAATTAGTTTTCTTCTGGAATTTAAAGTTAGATAGTTATTTAGTATATTTATATTAATATTCTTTTACTAAGCTAAAACTAAAACTTTTTTAATTTATATAAATTAGTTTTCTTCTGGAATTTAAAGTTAGATAGTTAGTTATCTAGTTTATATTAATATTCTTATACTAAGCTAAAAATAAAACTTTTTTAATTTATATAAATTAGTTTTCTTCTGGAATTTAAAGTCAGATAGTCAGTTATTTAGTTATTTAGTATGTTTATATTAATATTCTTATACTAAGCTAAAAATAAAACTTTTTTAATTTATATAAATTAGTTTTCTTCTGGAATTTAAAGTCAGATAGTCAGTTATTTAGTTATTTAGTATGTTTATATTAATATTCTTATCCTAAGCTAAAAATAAAACTTTTTTAATTTATATAAATTAGTTTTCTTCTGGAATTTAAAGTCAGATAGTCAGTTATTTAGTTATTTAGTATGTTTATATTAATATTCTTATCCTAAGCTAAAAATAAAACTTTTTTAATTTATATAAATTAGTTTTCTTCTGGAATTTAAAGTCAGATAGTCAGTTATTTAGTTATTTAGTATGTTTATATTAATATTCTTATACTAAGCTAAAAATAAAACTTTTTTAATTTATATAAATTAGTTTTCTTCTGGAATTTAAAGTCAGATAGTCAGTTATTTAGTTATTTAGTATGTTTATATTAATATTCTTATCCTAAGCTAAAAATAAAACTTTTTTAATTTATATAAATTAGTTTTCTTCTGGAATTTAAAGTCAGATAGTCAGTTATTTAGTTATTTAGTATGTTTATATTAATATTCTTATACTAAGCTAAAAATAAAACTTTTTTAATTAATATAAATTAGTTTTCTTCTGGAATTTAAAGTCAGATAGTCAGTTATTTAGTTATTTAGTATGTTTATATTAATATTCTTATACTAAGCTAAAAATAAAACTTTTTTAATTTATATAAATTAGTTTTCTTCTGGAATTTAAAGTTGGATAGTCAGTTATTTAGTTATTTAGTATGTTTATATTAATATTCTTATCCTAAGCTAAAAATAAAACTTTTTTAATTTATATAAATTAGTTTTCTTCTGGAATTTAAAGTCAGATAGTCAGTTATTTAGTTATTTAGTATGTTTATATTAATATTCTTATACTAAGCTAAAAATAAAACTTCTGACTAAATTAAAAGTAATCGCAAAAGATTTTAAAGTTAGACATACTGGATAAGTGAGATTTCTGACTAAATTAAAATTTTATTTTTCTTCGGTCAGATTATTTTAATAAAATATTTGCAAAAGATTATAAAATTAAATTAAACTTTTATTTTTACATTACTTTTATTTTATTTTTCTACAGATAAGTGACGTTTGTTCCTAAATTAAAATTTTATTTTTCTTCGGTCAGATTATTTTAATAAAATATTTGCAAAAGATTATAAAATTAAATTAAACTTTTATTTTTACATTACTTTTATTTTATTTTTCTACAGATAAGTGACGTTTGTTCCTAAATTAAAATTTTATTTTTCTTCGGTCAGATTATTTTAATAAAATATTTGCAAAAGATTATAAAATTTAATTAAACTTTTATTTTGACATTACTTTTATTTTATTTTTCTACAGATAAGTGACGTTTGTTCCTAAATTAAAATTTTATTTTTCTTCGGTCAGATTATTTTAATAAAATATTTGCAAAAGATTATAAAATTAAATTAAACTTTTATTTTTACATTACTTTTATTTTATTTTTCTACAGATAAGTGACGTTTGTTCCTAAATTAAAATTTTATTTTTCTTCGGTCAGATTATTTTAATAAAATATTTGCAAAAGATTATAAAATTAAATTAAACTTTTATTTTTACATTACTTTTATTTTATTTTTCTACAGATAAGTGACGTTTGTTCCTAAATTAAAATTTTATTTTTCTTCGGTCAGATTATTTTAATAATATATTTGCAAAAGATTATAAAATTTAATTAAACTTTTATTTTGACATTACTTTTATTTTATTTTTCTACAGATAAGTGACGTTTGTTCCTAAATTAAAATTTTATTTTTCTTCGGTCAGATTATTTCAATAAAATATTTGCAAAAGATTATAAAATTTAATTAAAATTTTATTTTTACATTACTTTTATTTTATTTTTCTACAGATAAGTGACGTTTGTTCCTAAATTAAAATTTTATTTTTCTTCGGTCAGATTATTTTAATAAAATATTTGCAAAAGATTATAAAATTTAATTAAAATTTTATTTTTACATTAATTTTATTTTATTTTTCTACAGATAAGTGACGTTTGTTCCTAAATTAAAATTTTATTTTTCGTCGTTCAGATTATTTTAATAAAATATTTGCAAAAGATTATAAAATTTAATTAAAATTTTATTTTTACATTACTTTTAATTTATTTTTCTACAGATAAGTGACGTTTGTTTCTAAATTAAAATTTTATTTTTCTTCGGTCAGATTATTTTATAAAATATTTGCAAAAGATTATAAAATTTAATTAAAATTTTATTTTTACATTAATTTTAATTTATTTTTCTACGGATAAGTGACGTTTGTTCCTAAATTAAAATTTTATTTTTCTTCGGTCAGATTATTTTAATAAAATATTTGCAAAAGATTATAAAATTTAATTAAAATTTTATTTTTACATTACTTTTAATTTATTTTTCTACAGATAAGTGACGTTTGTTCCTAAATTAAAATTTTATTCTTCTTCGGTCAGATTATTTTAATAAAATATTTGCAAAAGATTATAAAATTAAATTAAACTTTTATTTTTACATTACTTTTATTTTATTTTTCTACGGATAAGTGACGTTTGTTCCTAAATTAAAATTTTATTTTTCTTCGGTCAGATTATTTTAATAAAATATTTGCAAAAGATTATAAAATTAAATTAAACTTTTATTTTTACATTACTTTTATTTTATTTTTCTACAGATAAGTGACGTTTGTTCCTAAATTAAAATTTTATTTTTCTTCGGTCAGATTATTTTAATAAAATATTTGCAAAAGATTATAAAATTTAATTAAACTTTTATTTTGACATTACTTTTATTTTATTTTTCTACAGATAAGTGACGTTTGTTCCTAAATTAAAATTTTATTTTTCTTCGGTCAGATTATTTTAATAAAATATTTGCAAAAGATTATAAAATTAAATTAAACTTTTATTTTTACATTACTTTTATTTTATTTTTCTACAGATAAGTGACGTTTGTTCCTAAATTAAAATTTTATTTTTCTTCGGTCAGATTATTTTAATAATATATTTGCAAAAGATTATAAAATTTAATTAAACTTTTATTTTGACATTACTTTTATTTTATTTTTCTACAGATAAGTGACGTTTGTTCCTAAATTAAAATTTTATTTTTCTTCGGTCAGATTATTTCAATAAAATATTTGCAAAAGATTATAAAATTTAATTAAAATTTTATTTTTACATTACTTTTATTTTATTTTTCTACAGATAAGTGACGTTTGTTCCTAAATTAAAATTTTATTTTTCTTCGGTCAGATTATTTTAATAAAATATTTGCAAAAGATTATAAAATTTAATTAAAATTTTATTTTTACATTAATTTTATTTTATTTTTCTACAGATAAGTGACGTTTGTTCCTAAATTAAAATTTTATTTTTCGTCGTTCAGATTATTTTAATAAAATATTTGCAAAAGATTATAAAATTTAATTAAAATTTTATTTTTACATTACTTTTAATTTATTTTTCTACAGATAAGTGACGTTTGTTTCTAAATTAAAATTTTATTTTTCTTCGGTCAGATTATTTTATAAAATATTTGCAAAAGATTATAAAATTTAATTAAAATTTTATTTTTACATTAATTTTAATTTATTTTTCTACGGATAAGTGACGTTTGTTCCTAAATTAAAATTTTATTTTTCTTCGGTCAGATTATTTTAATAAAATATTTGCAAAAGATTATAAAATTTAATTAAAATTTTATTTTTACATTACTTTTAATTTATTTTTCTACAGATAAGTGACGTTTGTTCCTAAATTAAAATTTTATTCTTCTTCGGTCAGATTATTTTAATAAAATATTTGCAAAAGATTATAAAATTAAATTAAACTTTTATTTTTACATTACTTTTATTTTATTTTTCTACAGATAAGTGAAGTTTGTTCCTAAATTAAAATTTTATTTTTCGTCGTTCAGATTATTTTAATAGAATAATCTCAAAAGATTTTAAAGTTAGACATACTGGATAAGTGAGATTTCTGACTAAATTAAAATTTTATTTTTCTTCGGTCAGATTATTTTAATAAAATATTTGCAAAAGATTATAAAATTAAATTAAACTTTTATTTTTACATTACTTTTAATTTATTTTTCTACAGATAAGTGACGTTTGTTCCT